GCCTGCATGATATTCATTCTTTATAACACATGGTTGTAAAATGTAATTTCTATTGGGCTGCCTGGGTGGCTCAGTCTGACTTGATTTTGACTCAGGTCATGATCTCAAGGTTGTGAGATCTAGCCCGGTGTTGGGCTCTGCGCTAAGCATGGAGCCTGCTTAAGATTCGCTCTTTCCCTCTGCCCCTCACCGCCAAATATATAATTTTGACTTTTTTTTTTAATGGAGAAAGGGGCCCATGAAAGTATAATGTGACCTTGAACATAGGTAAATTTTGTGTGGTTATGATATCGTGTAAATATGAGCAGTTGCACGAGCATATGCACACATTTCTGTGTCTATAAGCATGCAGGTGTAGTGGGAACAGTTTCCATAAATCTGAAGGGGAGGAAGAAGCCATGGGGGTCCGAGCCGAGGCCAGGAAGGGCACAGGTGGCCCTGCGGGTTGCTCTCATCCAGAACACCAGCAGGTGTCAAGGTGGAGCCCTCGAGAAGAAAGGGGATTGGGGGCTTGTTGTTCCGGATGCTGCCAGCAGGGGGCGCGCGGAACCAGCTCTGTCCAGACTTCCGGCTAGCTGGCCCTGGAACCCCACACATTTGGGCACAGGGCGACCCTTGCGTGGCAAGAGGGGACTGTGGCTTTATTTCATAGAGGAGGCCCACAGCGGGGAGGGTGCTGGTCCGGGCCTACCGTGCGGTGGGACTGCTGGCGTTCCAGACCAGAGTCCTCCCACTGCCTGGGCTGACCCAGGGACCTCCACAGACACCTCTCTGACAACACCTGGGGGCTCCGCAGGCTGCCTTTCCCAAGCCAAACCCACCTCCGACTCCCCTTGCCTCTCCCTCAACTTCTGGGAAGCAGGTCTTCCCTGGCCAACTGCACTGTAGCCTTGAGGTCTGTCCTAAGGGTAATGACAGTGGCCTTTTAATGACTTCATACTTTCTCTGCGCCCGGCAGCCTGCCAGCACCATACAGGTTCTATCACTTTAAAACCTACGAGAAAGGCTCCATCAAGAGGCCAAGTCACACACCCGAAGCCACAGTTAGCAAGTAGCAGAGCTGGAATTTAAACTCAGGACTCTGGGGCAGCCCTGTCGGGACCCCTCTCACTCTTAAGAGCTTTTTCTGTATCTTCACTTAATAAACTTCTATCGCTTTACTCACAAAAAAATAAATAAATAAACTCAGGACTCTGAGAGGCGCCCGGGTGGCTCAGTCAGTCCGGCATCTCCCTTCGGCTCAGGTCATGATCCCAGGGTCCTGGGATCGAGAGCCCCGCACCGGGCTCCCTGCTCCGCAGGGAGTCTGCCTCTCCCTCTCTCTCTGCCTGCCACTCCCCCTGCTTGTGCGCATGTGCACGCTCTCTCTCTCTCTAATAAATAAAATCTTAAAAAAAATAAACTCACGACTCTGATTTTTCAAAGCCCATACTCATTGCCACGTGGGGCAAGGGGAGGCTCTGAGCAGTGACGTGATGGCCACTTGGGTCAGATTCCTACTTCCAGAAAGAAGCACAGATCGGGGTGGGGTGCCTGGGTGGCTCGGTCGGTTAAGCTTTTGCCTTCAGCTCAGATCATGATCTCAGGGTCCTGGGATCCAGCTGAGCCCCATGTCAGGCTCCCTGCTCAGTGGGGAGTCTTGCTTCTCACTCTTCTTCTCCCTCTGACCCTCCCCACCCCCTCCATGTTCTCTCTCTGTTTCAAATAAAATAAAATCTTAAAAAAAAAAAAAAGAAGCACAGACAAATGGATACTCAATGGCAGATACTCAATGGGAAATAAGGGATTTTGGTCCAGTCACTCACATTTTATGGATGGAGATACTGATGACCAGGGAGGGGAAATGACCAGCCCAGATTCCACCAGGACATGGTCACCTGAGTCACAGTCCTGGCATTTTTCTCATCCCTGCAGGCTGGCTCTTCCAATGGACATTATGCACCAGTCAGAGAGTAAGCTGCTACAGAAACTTTTGTTGAGTGAGAGAATGAATGTCTATTGCTCCCACCAGACAGTGAGCTCGGTCACACGAGGACTCTCCTCTGTTCATCTTTTTATCATCACCACCTGGCTCAGGGCCTGCCACACAGTAGATGCATGTCTTTTCATTGCTTCAGCAAATATTTATTTTTATTTTTATTTTTTTTAAGATTTTATTTATTTTGAGAGAGAGAATGAGAGAGAGAGCACATGAGAGGGGGGAGC